TAAACAGTGAGATATAAGAATGTGAAACAATGAGAAGAATATCACACCATATAAGAATGTGAAACAATGCGAAAAGCATACATATCGAACCATACATATGAGAAGGATGAAACGAAAATAACCAGGACTTCTTAACAGTAGCCGATAACCTTTGTCTAGAGTCATTTGTGAGGTTCCCACGAGTGAGAAATGGCCGGTTCTGGGACTCTCAGGAAATTCCACGCCTAGCCTAAGTGATCAAAGACCAGACTTTCGCTTGACTCCCATTTTGACAAGGACACTTTGGACTACCTATCCATGAAAAAAAATCAAATCATTTGTATGTCAAGTTTTTGAGCAATGACCTGGCTTTCCAAAGATCCCCTAAAAACCTGCTTTAGGGAAAGATTTTGAAAAAGACTTTCATTGTGAAAAGATGCAGTTAGGTCCTAGCTTTCGATTAGTGAAGACGTCAAGCACCCACCACTTTTCTGTCAAACGTTATTCAAAAAACATCCGAGTCCATTCTTTTTTTTACCGACAATAGTACGGTCGGTGCAGTCCTCAAGTCGTCAACAATAAAATACATAGGGTAATACCTCCAGTTTTCAAGTCGTCAACAATAAAACGCATAGGGTAATACCTTCCAGTTCTGACACGGTCATTTATATCATACATAGAGTATTACCTTCCAGTCTTCAAGTCGTCAACAATAAAACGCATAGGGTAATACCTTCCAGTTCTGACACGGTCATTTATATCATACATAGAGTATTACCTGAATGTTTCGTAGACGTAGAACAGTTAGGATACTATGACAGTTTTGGGTATCACGACATTTGATTCTGGATATTCTAGGGTATTGGGATTATGACATCTCTGCCGCTGACCTTCGTATCTCGTTATTACGCAATATCTCTTTAATTTCATGCAAAGGGTTTTCGTAATTTCTCTTTCTTTTTCTACGACCTTTTATCTTGTTACACTCGCTAATGTACGTCAATAACGCGTTACTGATGAAGAATTAACGTGCTCTAACATAAGAAATAAGATATCCCGTTAAACGCGCTATTTGAACTATTTTAATGCCGTACAACCGAACACAATCTGTTAACGCATTATAAGAGTATAAAATCTGTGCTCCGTCACAACGCTTGGCGCTTTTATCGATGAAAAAATATCGGGAAATAATTTATTTGCCACGCATCGGGACACAGATGAATATTGCGATAAATACTGTCTTTATTGCCTTAAATAAACTTATCTAGCTCTATTGAGCTAAAATATATTTGCAATGTTCTCAAGATAATAAGTTTCATCGCTATGCATATTAAGACTAGCGCAATGCTTTATTTTACCTCGATAAACATTACAATTATCGCGGAAAGCTTCTTCATCGGAGCAGTATTTTGTCTCGGCAGGACCAATAAATTTATCTTGCCGCGATATTTCCTTGACTAGGTAAAATTATCACCTCTAATCGAGATATTTTATAAAAAAAATCTCATGGGTGATATGACCTTTCCATTTAGGTTCCCGACCAGTTACTTTGACGGATATACTGGATCGATCTGGATGTCTTGATTTACCTGAATTATGGAGGCACCAACGGAAAATATAGACTGAATTATAAAACAACCATGCCGATTCAATTTTTCAAGTGGAAAACAGTATTATTATTCTCCTCTCTACACATTGTACGTTCTAACAGCACAGCAATATAACGGTTCGCCGATTTTGTGTGCATCCGCAGCAAAACTGCATAATGTTCATTTTTACTTTTGTGTTTTTTTCTATTTTCTCTCTGCTCTGTTTTTTTCGAAGTGATAAATAAAGTTTAAACTAACAGACTTTTGTGATTAACGGAAAAAAGACGCTCGGATCGGTGAAGTGGTTGTTGAGTTGTTGTTAGCATCTCTGTCTTACTCGTTTATCAGTGGTAATATTAATGGATACCAGCTGAGGTTTTATATAAAAGATTAAGATACTTGGTAGAATAACAAATAAAAACTGTTATTAGACTCGTTTCTGACTGTTATTAGCAGAGACAGAAAGTGATACGAGAACAAGTGTAGTACTATTTACATTGTTCCGACGCGTTTCGTTTTATTTAAAAATAAAACTCATCAGGCAATTTTTTGATCTCTTTATAATAATTTGTAATATAAGCCTTTTTTTCAACTACAGTGCCTAAAACGCGTGTAAGATCTGCCATGTTATCTTTTTCAAGTACACGATCGTCTAGTCGTGAACTAAACTGCACTTTGGGTACGGCTCTCAGTATCATTTTCATTGATATTTCTTCCTTCAGGAATTTAATAGCCTTTTGTTTCCCATGTAAAACGTCTAATTTTTCTTTTAGTATTTTTACATGTGCTCGTTGTATTGGCGTAGCCTTTTTCTGAAATGTTTTGAGGCTTTGAAACTCTGTGAGTTCGGCATATGCTGTATGCACACGATTAGCACAAATTTCTGCAAATGTTTTGGTATACATCTTCAAATATTCCTGTACTATATTATCAGCAGCTCTTATATGTAATTTAGATTTACGAGCACTTTGTGTAGCTGTATCATCAAATGTTGTTACGGTACCATTATTATTATGGTAACCCGGAACATCATGATAATATGGTACAAATGCTATTAATTCATTTTGCAGTTTCGTCACTGCATTCCCGTGATTTGAAATAGCTCTTTGGAGGTGAGATATTTTATCAATACAGTCCTGGTTGTTTACGGTATCATCACGGGTCTTTGTCTTTTTCACTATCTCGTGCGCCCAGTGTGCCTATTTCCAAGAGTTTCTCAATTACTTGATATTCATAATTGTCTCGGATCCAAGTATCGTACAGTGGTGCTGAAATGGTGACAAAACGGTTTACATGCCGGGGGGTCAGGCCGATATCACTGGGTTTTGCTAAACTGAAGAAATACCGTCGAATCTGATCAGCTCTCAGATAGGGTCGATCTTTATCTTCTTTAGGTTCTTGCTCGAAATCTAGACCACCGCCCTCATCGTTTAAAACTAATGCGACTGGTTTCTTTCTTTGTGCTCCTGCCTTTTTATTACTTTTTTGTTTTTTGAGCAGTACCATTTTACTTTTTGTAGTCGATGCTGTAGTCACTGTGTTTTCGTCTTGTGGCAATTCGTCTCGGTTGAGAAAATGAGCAAAACGGTTGTCGACTACTAGATGATGAAGGACAAAATGGTAAAGGAGGTGAAGAAAGAATAAATAAAAGAAGAAAGGAAAAGGAAATAAAAGAGAAAGAGAACGAGAAAAAAAAGATAATAAAACAAAACAGAAAAGAGGAAGTAAGTTCGAGAGAGAGAGACGAGTAAGATTGCAAAGAATACTCAACAAAAATTTAAGTTTTATGGTTTTCCGTGACCTGGTTCATTAAATGGTGGTTCCGTGGTATATGGCAATTGTAATGGGTGCATTTGAAAGACTGGAGATTTCAATCGATTTAATCGGCAAGCCATGTATTTTTTCCCAAAGTAGTAAATAGCCACAATGATCACCACACTCATCAATATAATTAATACCCAGTTGCGCCAATCGTAGTTCTAAATTTCACTTGGCGAACATGGTGATTTTCAAATGCATTATTTAAATGATTTGTAAAATCTGCTTTGTTTACACAATCCCCAACACGATGAAACAACACCTGCTTGAATAATAATGGAAATGAATCATACAATGAATACCATGGTGATGCTTATGGACAAGAGAAATAGTCTAAACAGAAGTTTCCACTTTGATACATGCATACTTAACACTCATTTTATACTAAAAAAACAATATCAAACAATTTGTGAGTAGGATGTAGGAGTGAAAAAAAAAATAGAGAAGGAGGGTGGAATGCAACGAGAAAGAAAAGAAATAAAAGAAATGGTCGCTCGATGGAATGGACAGTATGAAACAAGAATAACTATAACGAAGTGGCACTCTGACTATGAAAATCTCTGAGATTTTTTAATATAATCACATACACCATCAAGAATAATGCTTTGTGTATCAACATCGGTCAGTGAATCATTCAACAGTAGCATGTCCAATGTTAAAGGAACACTTAACTTTGTCTGTAGTTGTTTCCTAATTCCAGCATAAAATACACACTCAAAAAAAATAATGACTAATTGTCTCATCTCCAACACCACAACTACACTTCGGCGACGGAACACAATTCCGTCTAAATAAGTTAGCATTCAATTGAGGATTATTTAGTTTCAGCCTCATAAATGAAATTTCAACCTGTCGATTAGGAAATAATAATTCCTTCGATAAGCTCTTCAATAATTGTTGACCAAGAATAGTGCTTCTCAAATTTTCCCTGAGTTTCGCTGGTTTCAACAATTGCTGAGCTAATGATAAGTCATTCCATTCAGCCGATGTTATGTCAAAAAAGGATTTGTTCTTATACATACCAACCGCTTCAATATGACAAGACAGGTTACTATGAAGATTATGAAAAGGATTCGGTTGATGACGATGAAGATATTCAGTCAAATAAGCCGGGGTATCTCGTCGTAAAAATTTTGGAAATAGTACTAAGCGTGAAATACGAAAGCGTTCAACTATGCGAACCCATCCTAAAACCCACAAACATTTTTCATATGATGAACCTTTCATTACTCCAAGTATAATTCTAGCTGCATTATATTGTATATTCTGAATTTTCTGCATATTATAATCTGTAGTTATTGAGTAAATAACACAAGCGTAGTTAAATAATGTTAACACAAATGCCTTATAAATAATTTCAAGAGTATTCGTTATCAAAAGCTGTTTATGGTAAGTCATGAGTTCCAATATGGAATAAGAACGAGCACAAATTTTATCGATATGAGTGGTCCATGAAAGATCATATGTTAACCACAATCCCAAATATTTAACTTCCTCAGATTCCACCAGTGCCGTAGAAACCAATATCAGTGGCGATAACAGAAGAGAGCGAGCACGATAATATTGGGTTGAGAAGGTAATAGCTTCGCACTTCGAAATATTAAGCGGAATGTATCAAGTATCTGCCCATTTTTGGACGCGAACAAGATCTCTATTTATTGTATCTGTTGCAATTATTGGATCCGAGTGATGATAAAATAGAAATGCATCATCAGCAAACAACCTCATAGAAGACGCCATACCAATCGGTAAATCATCGATAAATATTAAAAAAAGAAGTGGTCCCAATACGGATCCTTGAGGAATTCCCTTCAATATTTCGCGTAAATTCGATGTGACGCCTTCTAGTACTGTTTGAATAGACCTTCCTTCAAGATAGCTTTGAAACCATTTTAAAGCTTTACGTCTGATATCCTTTTTTTCCAATTTCATCAGTAGACTACTATGACTAACATTATCAAACGCTTTTTGAAAATCTAACAGCATCACGCGTACATAGCGATCATTTTCAACACCAATATTTATTTTTTGAATAATATCAAGAAGTAAAGAAGTAGTACTATCTTTGGAAATAAAACCGGATTGAAGTGTTGTTAAAAGTTTATTCTTAATGAGATAATCATAAAGTTGTCGAAAAACCGCACATTCACATACTTTAGATAGTGCAGGCAGTAAAGTAATAGGACGATAGTTACTAGGATCGAGCAAATTACCCGATTTAAATAGAGGATTAATAAGACCACGTTTCCAATAAGAAGGAAATATCCCAGAAGAAAGAGATTCTCGAATCAAAATAACTATAATTGGAGCAATCGATGATTCAAGATTTTTCAACATCCGATCAGTTAATTTTCTTGAAGTACTCTTTCTTAGCATGATCACAAGCTTCTATAAACAAGACACATGCAACATCATACCGTTGTTGATTAAATGAAGACGGCCTCAACTTTAAAGTCCGATATAATCTTATTTTATGTATAATTGACGAAGTTCTTCTGTGAACCAAATTTTATCACTAGATTTCAATGTTATTATCTTATGTGGAATGAATATATTTATTTGCTCAAGAAGAATTTCTTCAAATGCTACTATCTTATCATCAAGGTTATTGTAATTATGGATAAGATGGTAGAAAGGAATGTGTGAACAAGTTTCATTGATCAGATCCCAGTTAACAAATTTATAATCATATATAGTCCGTACAATTTCCTGTTTACGAGTTACTTGAATGTTTAAGATAAACTCAATAAAACTACGATCACTACGTTCTAGCATAGGTATAATTGATACATCAGATACAATGCTGCCTGTTGACAGAACCAACCACATTTTGCTATTTTTCAAATTGAGAACTACGTAGAATTATCTAAGCCACAGACATTCAACCGCTTAACTGTTCTATCTGATCTATTTAAACTGATTGAGACTATTAGCGGTCTGATTTATTTCCATTTTATCAAGTCGAGTCTAAGCATATTCGCAAAAATCTTCGTATTTTCACAGAAATGCGGTTGATTTCCCCAAAGGCGTATTCTTATTCACGAGAGCCCGCTTTACAGAACGAGACGTCTGGATAGTTTCTAGCATGTTTAACTTCAAAGTTATAAGCAGTTTAACTTAAAAAACTGGTCAACACCCCTGTCTTAAACTAGTTGTAAAGTCCAATCCAAAACAGGTATGAAGTTTCTAAATGTCTTCTTTTGTAGAGATCCATCTGCCCAACAAACTGGATTTTGCAATATAATTTTAAAACTTTATCCCTTCAATATAATCATAAAAAGCTGAACAAGACTGATGGAAAAACTGGTGCATGCCTACTCCACTGAACTCCCCTATAAATCACACTCGGCTGCTCTTTGGTGTTCTTTCGATTCCTTCACTTCTTGTTTTGTTTTTACAAGCTTTGGAGCAGCCCGTTCGGCTTCCTGAATTGCTTTTTCTGTGCCGCGTCTAACAGCTTTTGTTCTTCCGCTTCTCGCTCTATGAGGCGTCGTTATCATTTCTATATCAAATTCAGATTGGAACTGAGAAATATTCGAAAAGAAAACAACGAACTTTTCTGTTCGTCTTTTTTGCCGCTCTGCCGCTCTGCCGTTCTGCCGCGGCATAACGGATTATTTTTAATGACATTTCGATATATTATCGGTTTCTTTTGATATATGTATACGTATACACGCAGTTTATTTTGGTAGATAAATTTATTGAAATTGTCTTTGCCATTTACGATTAAATGCAGAAATAGAAAAAAGTATAATAATGTTCTTCTTATTTGTATATGTAGAGTAGTGTACTATATAAGCATTTCT